GTGATGGTACTCAAGGTGATGTGCTTCATTCAGATCTTTTCTTCAAGGAATGCTTTCTGGAATGCCTACCTCTCTATATATAGACATGAATTTCTAGGGAAATTTTTACTAAAACCTCTCTAGCATTTTTTTATTCAATTTTGTATTATGAGTAAAATATTTGATCTTGATGGAAGCAATATAAGAAAAAGTGTTGACAAAGTGACTAGAGCTGCAAATGCCCTTTTCTCGCCATTTTTGATCATTTGGGCTTTGACTCAGATCACAGAGTCCTGCAACTCCAAAGCAGAATATATGTTTCTGAGAAATGAGAAGCAATAAATAATATGTGAGAGATAAGATGGCTTTAAAAAAACAAGCCTATATGCAAGGAGGTTGGACTGTAAATAAAAACTTTTGACAATTACTCTAAGGACTGTGTAGAAGAAAAATTGCAAATTCTTCTCTGATCTACATGGGTTTTTTTAAATTGCAAGACTGGCAAGTTAAGTGGCAAAGCAAAATAATAAAGTGGCCTTGGAAATACATAACCAAAGAGGGTAAACAAAATCAAATACAAGTGCCCTCTTAAACAGAGGGTTTGCATTTTCTTAGCTGAATAAACTTTCTACCTTGACTCTCAGTGCTCTCAGTGAAGTGGAGGTCATGGCTAGTGACAACTGGGAGCTGTTCCCGGAGGCTTTCTTGCCTTTTTAGGTTATGAGGGTCCCTGCATGTTTAGGATAATATGATTGACAGCTCCACTCCGGCCCCAATTAGCACCCTATAATTTATTAGCTTCTGCTTTCAGATTATGCGCTAACTTCACAAATATTTCAACCACGGAAACAGCAGCTATCAAGTGTCTCTTTCCTGATCCAGCTCTCTTGGACTGCAGTTAAATACAAGGAGGGAGCTGTGCAGGTCTGTCAAGAGCAAATAATCATTTGTGTCTGTGTACAACTGGGGCTGTTGCAGTTCTTTAAGACTCAGTTTCTGGAAAAAGCGGTTGTTCCACTGGATTAGGGATCAGGGGTTAGGGTTTGGTTCCTGTCACAGAGGAATGATGCAGGATTGAGACCAATGTGCTGGCTATTCCTGAAAAGGTCTGTGTTTGTCCAATTCTGTTTATTATGTAAAGACCGATTCCATGCAAATAACACTGGGAAGTTTGTGACCCTCCTAATGCTGTTTCTTTGCTCCTTGCTGCTAGAGTGTGGGGCCAGAGTACTAAGCGCAGAACATAAGAGAGTGGGTGAGGCAGGAGAACAGAGACAGGATGAGATGCACAGTCAGGGCTGGGGCCAGAAGTCAAGGAGAGAAGAAATGAAGAAGTTGGGGAAGTGTGATGAAGGAGGAGGGCGTCTTGCATCTGTACCTGGGCCAGATAGGGCAGAAGGAAATGTGCCATGCAGCAGGGAGATGGGGAGATGGAGCACACTCAATAATGTTCAGAGTGGTATTACATCTCCTAATGGGACAGCACTCCTGTCGGGTGTTTATCCTGTCTTTAACATCAATGAATAAGCAACTGACACATACCTAAACAAACACTCCAGTCCTCGACCAGACTGTACTTTTGTGGGCTGCAGCTGAGCATGGCAAATGGAAGTGCCTATGCATGAGAGTCAGTCCCAGGGGCATGCACACCTGCATGCTGCACCCCTGCACCCTGCACAGTACCCCTGCACTCCGTTATACCTGCACTCCTGTACAGGCTTGTCCAGCACCTTCCCTTTCTTTTGTAGGGCTTCAGACAGAGAGGGTAAAGGCAGGAGGATGGGGACATGGCACCCTGGTACCTCTCTGCTACAAATTGCACTCACGGGCTTGATGCACATTATTCACCAATTATGCCTGGCTAAGGAGGCAGCAGAAGGTGCACTGTAAAAGTAGCTCCTCCTTTATGATTAGGGATGGACATGAACAGTCCATACTGAGCCAGTTGTCAGTACAGTCAGTTTAGATAAGTGTTACCATGCTGGGAACTAAATTAAGAATCTGGTTCCCAAAGCTATAGTCCCAAGCCTCTTCTTTTCTTTTCTTTTCTTTTCTTTTCTTTTCTTTTCTTTTCTTTTCTTTTCTTTTCTTTTCTTTTCTTTTCTTTTCTTTTCTTTTCTTTTCTTTTCTTTTCTTTCTCTTCTCTTCTCTTCTCTTCTC